GGCGGCTGTGATGTCGTGTTAGGAGCAAATTGGCTCATAACATTGGGCCCAATTTATGGATGAAATTCTCATTTAATGGGAAGTCCTATTGTATTAAAGGGGAATCATCTAAAGAAATATCAATTATGGGAGAGACGAATGCAATGAAGACTCTAAAAAAAAAATGGGCCTGGTGTGATTTTACACTTGTGCAGTATGATTAGCTCGGCCCTTGAAGATAATACTAATCCAAGACTCCATGAGTTGTTAGAAGACTTCTATGATGTTTTCGATGAACCCAAGGAATTACCACCGTACAGGTCACATGACCACAGAATTACATTAATTATCGAGGCATCACCAGTTAGTGTATGTCCTTATCGTTACCCACACTATTAAAAGAGTGAGATTGAACAAATCGTACAAGAAATGTTGCAAGCTGGAGTCATTAGGCCCAGTCAAAGTCCTTTTTCTTCCCCAGTTCTCTTGGTTTCCAAAAAGGATGGCAGTTGGCGGATGTACATTGATTATTGTGCACTCAACCAAGTGACTGTAAAAGACAAGTTTTCGATTCCGATGGTTGACATGGGGCAACTGCATTTGCAAAACTAAACTTACTATCAGGTTACCACCAGATCCGTGTACATGATGAAGACATTTTCAAGATGGAATTTCGGACACATGATGGCCACTATGAATATTTGCTGATGCCGTTCGGATTATCCAACGCACTTTCTACATTTCAAAGCCTAATGAATGAGTTATTTAAATCTTATTCGCGCAAATTTATTCTGGTGTTTTTTTATGATATTTTGGTATATAACAAATCTTGGGAAGAACACATAGTGCACTTACGTAACAGATTAGAGACAATGAAATCCCATAAATTATTTGCTAGGAAATCAAAATGTCGGCTTGGTACCAAGGAAGTTGAATACCTCGGCCATTTAATTTCAAGGGATGGTGTATCTGCGGATCCTTCAAAGATTTCCTGTATGCTGACAAAGGAAGTTCATTTAAGATTATGGCAAAATTGCAGCCCCAATAACTGCCATGTTAAAAAGGATTCCTTTCCCTGGACTACAGAATCTAAAGAAGTTTTTCAAAATCTCAAAAAGATGATGCCACAATCACCTGTTTTGGCATTACCCAATTTCAGTAAACCATTTTCAATAGAATGTGATGCGTCGGGTAATGGTATTGGGGCTGTCATCATGCAAGAGGGTTGTCCAATGGCTTACCTCAGTCAAGCCCTAAAGGGAAGGAATTTGTTGTTATCCACTTATGAAAAGGAATTTTTGGCGTTGGTCTTAACTGTGCAAAAATGGAGGCCATATCTCATGGGCCGTCGATTCAAGATTTTTACAGATCAACAAAGTTTGAAGTACATTTTAGAACAGAAGATTGCTACACCAACACAACAACGTGGGCTTACTAAGTTGATGGGATACGATTTTGTAGTGGAGTATTAGAGTGGGCAAGAAAATAATCAAGAAGAGATAATGACAGTTCGTTGATGGCTATTTCTTCGGTGGTCCCCATATGGGTTGAGGCAATTCGATCAGAATACTTAATGGACCAAGAGTTACAGGAAAGGGGTGAGTTGGACCTTACCAAATATACTTACCATGATGGGTTACATTTTTACAAGGGTCGACTCTTTCTTACCTTAAATTCCCCATTGAAGTCTAAAATACTTCTGCAACTTCATGATTCTCCTACAGCAGGGCATTCAGGGTTCTACAAAACATGGAAATAAGTTAAGGATGATTTTTATTGGCAAGGGATGAGATCATCGATAAGAAGTTATATCTGGGAATGTGATGTTTTTCAACGAAACATGGCTAAAAACATCTCTCCATCAGGTTTGCTACAGCCATTACCCATTCCCTCCAAGGTATGAACGTACATTTCTATGGATTTTATCGATGGGCTTCCCCATCTCACAGCCATGACGTGATTATGGTAGTCATTGATCGACTATCAAAGTATGTACATTTTATTTTTTTATCCCATCCTTACACTACTGCTACAATTGCTCGCCTCTTCTTTTATCAGATTTTCATACTACATGGCATGCCAACCTTGATTGTTAGTGATCAAGACCGCACTTTTACCAGCTTGTTTTGGCAGGAGTTATTTCGTTTGCAAGACATCAAATTGAAATTGTCCACAGCCTACTACCCCCAAACGGAAGGCAAGATGGAGGTGGTAAATCAGTGCTTAGAGAACTATTTGCGGTGTTTAGCGGGTGCTTGTCCAAAGGAGTGGGCTAAGTGGCTTTCGATGGCAGCATGGTGGTACAACACATCAACCCATACTTCCACCCAGATGACACCGTATGAAGTAGTTTATGGCGTAGCACCTCACCGTCTTCTCTCTTATGTTCCCAACACCACTCATGTTCAAGTCGTAGAAGAGTGTTATTAAAGACTCGTGATTATATCTCAATCATCCTTAAGGAGAACTTGTTGCTCGCTCAAGAAAGATTGAAGCGTCATGCAACCAACACCGCACAGATCGTGAGTTCAACATAGGAGACATGGTCTATCTACGTCTACAGCCTTATCGACAGACATCAGTTGCAATGAGGAGAGTTCTCAAGCTATCGTCGAGATATTATAGTCCATACAAGATTATCCAGCGTGTGGGGAAGGTTGCCTACAAACTACAGCTGACCGAAGGAGCACGAATTCATCCGGTCTTCCATGTCTCTTGCCTTAAGCCAAGGGTTGGGAATCAAATCATTCCACAGATAGATCTTCCTAGGGTCAATGACGATGGAATTTTCCAACTGCTTCCAGAGAAAATACTTGATCGAAGGATGGTTCGACGAGGTAGCTAAGCGATTACAAAGTTGTCAATCAAATGGCAAGGGGTTGATGATGTAATGCGTTAACTGTCAGTCAGGTGGCTTACTGATTTCTGTTAGTTGGTTTTAGTTTGGAGTCTCTGTTGTTTAGGTGTCGCAGTTAGGTGGATGTGCGGCTAGTCTTGGTACGTATGCAACACGTTTAGGAGTTGGTTGTGGAGTCAGTTATGGAGTCTATTGGTTGTGGAGTCAGTTGTTGAGTCAGCCATGGAGTTTGTAAATAGTGGTAAAGTTTAAGGTAATGAAAAAAAGGGGAAAGCATTAACTTTTCTGCAACAAAGTTTCAGGAGGTCTTGGATTCCCTCGAAGCAAGCCAGAATTCAAAAATTGCTCGCAGGAAGAGGAATCACGCACCACAAATATAAAAGAGAAAAAGAAATTCAAAAAATTCAAAAGTTCATGCAAGCAAGAGTATCAGAAAAAAGTTAACTTCAATCACAAAAGAATCTGGTTTTCTTTGCACACTATCCTTTAAGAGATCGCCCCAAATAACCAGAAATGTCCCAGTAAAACAAAGGATGTGAAAAAATGGTTTTAGAGAAATACAGCATCCGGAAAGGAATCCAATGATAAAATTTAAAATCACTGCAAACTTAACCGATGAAAAAGAAAAGGAAAAAAAAAAAAGCACAAAGGAAACAAAACAAAATATAAATTTCATAAAATATATGGAGAATTTTTCATAGACCTCCATCGAACAATGAATTTTTTCAAGTGCTGAAACCCTAAACATGAGGATCATCCAGGGTTGAAGAGATAATACCTGTAAGAAGAAGATCAGAGCCATAGGGTTGGGTTTCTTGTGTGTGTGTGTGTGTGTGTGTGAGAGAGAGAGAGAGAGAGAGAGAGATAGAGATAGAGAATTGCAGAGCAGAAGTTTTGACACCGAAAGGTTTGGAGAGAGCAAGAGTTTGAATTTCGAAAGGTTGCAAGCAATGAACGGGACCATTTTCAATTTTTTAAAAACCGAAATCATACCCATTTCAGTTTTTTGAAAGGACCAAAAAAATGTTGTTTCGTCTCTATAGTCATCCATATACAGAAAAGAACCTCTGGCTCCACACACAGATGAGGCAGTAATGGAGCTTTATCCATATCTAGACAATAGGCTGAGCTTTCTTGGCTGAGGGCACATAGGAAGTCTTATCTTTTTAAGAATAAGCAGTGTGTGTTATCACGCCCATTGCTTCCTCTGATTTGAATTGAAAAATAAAAAATCCCTCATCCATGGTGACCACCATTGGAAATTGAATTGGTGAAAACGGGGGAAAGAATCATCAAAGTGTTTTTCCAATTAATTGAAGTTGACTATATCAATCTTGGTCCGTCATTTTGTTGTATTAAAGGCCATATATATTTAGTGACACCATAAATCCGCATATCGTTTTTTTCTACTTCTAACCATGTCTTTTTAAACCTACTCTCCATTATCTTTTTTTAGCCTTTCACTTGAACTAACTCGTACCTCTTAACGAATGCTATATTATTAGATGTGCACAACACATGACCAACCTATCTAAATCTACTCTCTCATCTTATTGGAAAAAAACTCTGACGATGATGATGATAATAAATTTACTCACCTAATGATTAATTTGAAAAATGAAAATTTCATACCAAAGAGATTATATGGTTTAGTGGACATATGCCACTTAGGTGAAAGCCCTACCTAGAAGTATTATGCTTTATTGGACATGCGACACAGGTAAAAGGCCTATCTAAAAGCATTAGGACCCCAGGTTCCAATTTTGGACGATCCGATCACGATGTTTACAAGCTCAAATCAATTTCTTCTTTGTTTCTTTAAAATACTCATTTGGTGATTTTAAGTGAATCCAGAAACTTTAGAATCTCAACCATCGGTCACAGAAGGCATAAGGTAGATAACCCATACAGCTTGATATGCTATAGGCGTACAAATACTCCTAAATTGATGCGAGAAAAATCGATTGCATCTTTAAATTTAGAGTGGTTAAAAATCTAGGTCGGCAAATTTTTCTGTACGTGGATGCAGGCGTTAAATCACATCCCACATGGTACTCTTATTCGAATATTTTGTTGTCACAAGTTATTTGAATTTTATGCACTCATCATTTCAAAGTGGCAAATCACATAGTATCTCCGTTTTTGAAGCATACAGGACTCATGGTGCTCAAAAATATGCCTCAGGACATTGCAGGTAACCAGTTGGAAATGAATCATGTACAAGGCTCTAATCTAATTGAACAATTCCTATTTTTTGCTGAAAGTATTTCATTCTTGGGGTGGGAATAGTCCAGCAGCCCCTTCCATTAACAAATAATGACTCAATGTTTCGTCATCTATACATCATTTAGTTAGACTTAAAATATATACAACAGACCTCAAAAGTGTCGCTGAGAAGAGAGAGAGAGACCGTTAGAAAGAGAATAGACCCTCCTAGAACCAGGGGTGCCATGTCGCGTCCATCATGCACAAACTCCTGGGGCAGAGTGCAGCTTCTACCAGATCGGTCACCCCCCTCTGGACAGATTGAGGCGGGTCGGTTGCACTCTCATCCTGAAATGCGTACGGTAAGAATGAGTTCAAAGGAAAGGGATTCTTTCTAGAAATAAGCTAATCCTGAAAGATTTAATGTTGCATTAGTGATGATTCAAAAATGAGGCCAAGTTATTGGAGAGAAGAAGATTTTTTTTATACAAGTAGTGCATTGATATACTCTACTACAATAAGATTACATCTATGAAACATCATACTTTTTCTTCCTAAAACCGAGTGATGTCTCTCCTAATCAAGGACAAAGCTAGTAAATTGTGTTTATTGGGCTATGACACAGTACCTCTTCAGGCGAGAATTGAGGAGCTATTACTTTGACACGACCGATGACACTCTCCACATTTGTGGTAACCTTTTGCTCGAATTCTGACAAACTCATGCCTGGTGTGACTATTGCAGGCACTGATGGCAGCCCTAGAGGCCTTCTCCAAGACCACGACAGAAGTTCATCTCGGAAAAACATACCCAACTGATAATACAAGTGCTGGCTTTGCTGTAAAAGATGAAACAGGATAAAACAGGCCAATCAGAAAGAAAGAAAAACACAAGAACCTCAGATACCAGCTGTAAGGATGTCAAAGGACTTAATCATTGAAAGAGAAAGGGACACTTAGCAAAGTCAACTGGGAGACTACAAAAAACTTTTCCAAAGACAACAAAAAGAAAACATTGAGAAGAAACATATTTTGTACCATACTAAAAACACGTTTTCACGTTCCAACATGTCCAGTAGTACCTTGGGTATGACCAAAGATTGTGCTGCTGCACACATAGCGGAAACAATGAGGCCTTCCACCCCAAAATGAGAGAAGAAAGAATGCAAGTTCCGGGTAAGCCGGAATGGCACTGGCTCGTTGAATTCTATCATTCCATTTGCATCATAAGCTGCAAAAAGCCAAAAAGATAGATATAACGATGAATTAACTATATGGGTTTTTAAATATATAGGCAACATGGGGTACTTATTATTTCATATCTATTCCCTCCCTCCCTTCATCCCTACCTCCCTCTTATGCAAGCAGATACACACAAGCGCGCGCTTGCACACGCACAAAAGTGCATTAATTCTCATTCTATGCCCAGTAAAAGGAATACATGCACAAAATGATCAAACAAACCATCCCAACAACATCGGAGGATAAGAAGAAACTGACATTCATATTATAGATTGAAGTAACCTACCTGGATGGAAATCATTTTGGAATATCTTGCCAGTGTTCTTTGCAAACAGAATCTTGTTTGGGGACCTCCCTCCAATTTGCAATATGTAAGACATGAAGCTTGAGAGAGCTAACTGGACAGCAAACTGCTTTTTGAAAGCCCACAGATGGTTACCACTTGGGAGAGTCTTATACATGTACTGAGAGAAAACATTCTCATTGACGTAACTTTTGGTGATCTCATTGTATACATGTAGACGGAGGTCTACAACTGCTTCAGGTAAGAGCTGGCCTGTAATGGCTTGATTCAGCCGCTCCTTGAAACGTGTAATTGGAAGATCGGCCTCACGACCATATCTATTACAGTTTATTTCGTAAACCTCAAGAAAGGTGCTATACATCAAATCATCCTCTACCATCCTCACCTGTATGCGTGAAACCATTAGACCATATACTTCGATAACAGTGGCAAGAGAGGTCAAATTTAAAACAGTCATGGATTTTGGAAATGATCCTCTCCAAGAACAAAATCAAAATTTTGGATATCTGACCGAATGTCAATAGAACTCAACCTTTGGAAATAGTTCTCATAGAAAAGGCGAAAAAATGAAACTGGGAATTGGTCAAAGTTTAACTGATTTTGGGATTGAAACATGAATAAATGCCAATTGAAAAAATGAAGAATACCAAATTTTCAATCTAGTTAATTTCAGCTAAACTTAGCATATAAAAGCCAAAAATGAATTTTCCTCATCCTTATCTATTTTGGCTGAAGTCATAATTGTCACAAAGGGCAGTTCCTATTTGCTAAAATGCGCCAAAAAGAAACATGATCAAACAACACATCAGAAGAAAAAGATACATAAGCAAGTTAATATTATTGGAGAAAACTATCAACCTGAGACCAAACTGGTATGATGTTTGGGGTGTGGAAACAGAGGTGGCGCCGCCTCGATTCTTTGTGTTTGTCAAACATTCTGTTCAAGACACGGAAGAGCTGCACAATGCGCTCATCACTTCTAGCACTTGGGGTTAGTGAAGTCTGTACAAGAAAATGCCGCTGTGATCCATCTGAACCTAGCAGGGTAAGACGGCGGAAACTGCTCCCATGCCGACGAACTATGGGAACATCAGCCCCAATCCTGTCCAACTTTACTGTATGATCAGGTGCTATCTCCTGCATGATATGAAAATACAGATTATTAACATGCATTTAATAGGGCAAGCCCAAGAAACACTTATAACATTACCAACTTGGTGTTTTTAGTTGTCAAGTAGTATATTATCAATTGTCAAAAGAGGACAGAAAATAGTTCCTTGTCATCCTCCTAATGATAATGGAAAACCTATATCCCATAGGCTCATCATCTGAACAACGGAGTAGCAGAAAAGTGGGACCCACCCTTGAGGTTACACTTGTTTTAAAACATCCCACTCTCTCTCCATAATTGTCCATTTTCATGGCCAATAATGATGAAAGGGACCATGGTTTCTCCAAAGTCCCACCAGCCTATATTATAGTTAACGGTTTAATCATGTTCATTGGACAATGGTGATCCCAATGGCTACGGCTTTTCCATTGTCTTGAACGTCATGTTGTTTCACTAGAAAGATAAAGGAACTCAATGGCTTACTTGGTCAGTGAAATACTGTCCCGGAATCTCAACATCCACAATGTGGAACTCGCGTAATAGTCTGCTCTCCTCTTCAAGCTTCAAAACAGGAGGAAACCTGTCCTCTACATTGCTCTGAAGAACATTCTTCCAGTGCTTCAATCGCTCAGTCAGTTCGGCAAGGGTTGGAGGAAAAGTCCCTGCACTTTCTGGATCAAGGTCCCGTTCAAAATCTTGCTTGTATTCTCTCACAAAATCCACGTGCTTGTTTACTGTGTCTGCTGAGAAACAAGCTCTACAAACACCTGATAGTTCTTTCTTTAGGGCTTGAGGCACTTCTGCTGTAGTGGCAGTTGGGTATTTGTAACAGCGATGAAGAAGGGCATGAACAACTGCTAAAAGTCTCTCCTCTGGTAGAGGAACAAACCTTGAACCAATTTCTGTGAGTAAAACCTGCATGTCATGGCTTTTTAGTAGATCGCCCAAAAGACATGCACTGAGAAAAATAAAACCTTGTCAAATGCACCCATGCTTATTTCATTTGAAAAAAAATCCTATGTTGCTAAATGCTTAGCCTAAAGAGAAATTGCGCACAGGAAGCCAAAGTTCGAATCACTCGTCCACAGCTACAGCACTAAGGCAAGCAATCTGCAACAACCACATATACATCTGGAGATGAATCTTTAGCTCATAATTCCAAATATCTTCATCTTGCATACAATTCTTATAGTTAATTGATTCTACTTGCCACGATACCCAGAAGAAGAAAGCTCAGCTTTAAAATTCTATTCAATTTTGTCCTCAGCACAATAACAAAGAGCATACCCCCACTATCAATTGGTCTATATAATGATAGAAAACATTAATCTGCTACCCTAATTTATCAACCATATTATAGATGTTCCCCATTGATCATCATCCTCAACCATGTAGAATATACTCCCACTATCAGATGGTCTAAGCGTTAAATGCATTTATGACTTTAAAAGAAATTTTCAGTTGTGCATAAACTATACATGTCAATGCTTAAGATTTTTCCAGTTACCATAAGTTCTTATATATTAGCAGAAGAGAGATTAATCAGTGGTAATTAAGAACCAGAAAAGAATGAAAGCCAATAAAGGAATAGATTCATTCCATCACGAAGCTTACCTCAAGCTCACTAGCTAAATTTCCATGCTTATTTCTGAGGCCCTCCATGACATCCTTTGCAGCATCAAATGCACTGGTAGCAGAAGCCACCCAACTATTCCCACCATTGCGCCTAAATTGACCTTGGCCACTATCAGCAGTAACATTAGAGTTTGCCATAGTTGTATCATGCCCTGGATGAACGTTTCCATCTACACCACCAGATCTGTCCAGCTCCTGTCCTTGAGGATTCCCACCTTCATGAGAGACTCCTGCTACACCAGGTTGAGGAACCTGTTGCCCTTGTGATTCAGATGTCAAAGTGTTTGGACCTGAATTCGATGCCCTAGCACTCCCATCAGCTATGTTAAGGGGACCTGAATTTACCCCAGAAACAGGTGGTTGTTGCATGCGTTGTTGACCCGCTGCTACACCCCTTCCAGTCTCTGACTTATTGGCTACATCACGGCGTTCCAGTAAATAAGTGCGCAACCAATAGTACAGAGCCTGCACAATGGAAAATGAATGGGTTTGCTAAGGATCAAATGGCACTATCTCAAACTGAAAGCCATAGTCCATCGGGGTCATCACCAACCAATGATATGAAAAGGGATGGTTATGGGAGGGATGGGTACATCAGAACAGGAAATGACCCCCATGGACTACAGTTTTCCATGGTGCATAGAATACTTTCCTCTAGAACAATAATCAAGCTTTAATTAGTACCTGTGGGTACACTGTTGCTATTTTCAACAAAACGAGCTTGCAATGAGGTGCTTCCATCCTTTGAAGAGAAAGCAATAATTGTGGTATCCAGGAAAGCCATACCCAGTGAGGTATCTGATCTAAATATTTATCAAATGCTCTACCAACAGGTTCATTTGGAGTATCAAAGCAAGTAGGTAGAGAACACGTGCAAGGTGGCTTCTAGAATTTGAAACACCATATTTGATGCCTTGGAGGAAGCAACTCACAGCATATTCTAACCATATTTCATCATGAGTTTCTTTATAAACCTGCCAAAGTCAAAAGATTGTCAAGCACATATCCTTGTGTGGAGGCCTTAATAATTTATAAAAATCCCTAAATGGAGAAGAAGCCGAAAACCTGGTCACAGTAATTTCCCCAGCTTATCCATCCTTTGGGTAGATGTTTATAGAGCGTCAGGGCATTCGAGTATGCTTGATTAGCAGCCTCCCCATCATTCAACTTCAGTAGGAAATCTCCTTTCAGTCGGAATATCTCTGCTTTGTGCTTAACAGGAAAGTATTCTAGATTCGTTCCATTAATCAAGTTAAGACCGCTGGTCCATTCTTCTTTCATTTCCAAATAAGCCTTCGCTTGCTCTCTTATTTTAACAAATGCTTCCTGAGAGAATTAGGAAGAATCCGCATTGAAGAATAGCCAAACAAAATGGTTGAAACAAGATTAAAAAGAGGACTGAGGTTGGGCAACATAATTTCTGAATTTCATTAAGAAATATAAATTAAGCTATGTATTTTTTGTTCTTTTTTCTTTTGTCATTTTAGAGCTACTTAATATGAATCCATACCTGCACTTCCATGGTTAAGTGACCATACATTTTTTCCAGAATCGTCACACAAACATCATAGAGCCCCTGTTTACGAGCAATGCGAGCAAGCTTATTGACATTCCAGGCTTTGTCACGGTAACCTAGTTGATGAAGCTGAGGATTGGTGGTGGTGAAATCTTTGAAAGCATCTATAACAGTATTATACATTTCATTCCTCCACTGGAGCAAGTCATACCAAACAGATAAATTATCCCACTCATTAGGAATCCTCAATCTCCAAGTCTCGAGTATATCTTTGAGATCCACATATCCACCATGAACACTAGCCATTGAACTCCCAGGAAGTTGCTTGCTTCCATTACCAATCTCTACAATTACTTTTGCTGATTCTTGAACTTCAACCAGCTGCTGAAACTGTTGCAGAAGAGGAGTGCGGGACTGAACTGACATTTCGGGCAATTGCCACCATTGCTGCAATGCAAGATCTACCCCTTGCGCAACCCTAGAATCAGCCTCACTCACGCCATTGGCATTCCCATCATGCAGAGCAAAATAAGCCTGAATTATCCGGAATTTCGTTGTCTCTTCAACTTGAGCCTTTGGAAGAACGGTGTCCTTCATATATGCCCAATCAGAAGTCTTCCATAGACAGTCGAGTAGCAGGTCATAGTTATCCACACTTTTGCCGAAGTCCACAAGAACATCCCACTGGCATAGTTGGCGAGCACAGGATACCCACTGTTCTTCCCAAAGAGACATTTCTGCTTTTGGTACTGTGTTATTGTAAGTGCCTTGAGTTGCCTTGCTCATTGCCTGATAAAAGAGATTTTGCGCACGTTGCCAATAGCCATGTTGAACCAAAGAAAGACCCGCCTTGGTTTCTGCAGTGATTGACCGTTTCTTCCACAAACCACACCTCATGTCCTCCTCGTTGAGCAAGCGATATAACTCAGCAAGTGCTTCCAAGCATCGTGTCTCATTTACAAAGAGCATAACATGGCTTTCCAACAGAGCCAAGGCAATATGCCATGCATTGTAAGTCTTTCCAAGAAATTTGATGAGTTCACTGGGTAGTCTAGGTTGAGGATGGCTTAAATGAAGCCCTTCTAGGAGTGCCTGCACAACATTTGGTCGCTTCTCCTGCTGTTTCATATGGTAGTCCTTTGACAGGAGGGTTGTCATTGGCTTGGCCAGTGCCATCTGCTCTTCCTTGTGTAGAGTAACCCACACAATAGGGAATACCAATACCCACATATGATATGCGACATTTGCATCAGTATGAGATATTTCTCTTAATGGGATCACAAGGTCAGATACCTGGAGAAGCATAAAGGAACATTACTCTACAAAATCTCAGTAACGTTAGTCATGAATAACTACTTAACATGAGTATCAGTCTACCTAAAAGACAGTGTCATCTATCAGAATCCCTTATTTAAGTTTCTGTTGCCAATATAAATGAATAGAAACCTCATGGCCATGCCGAGAACACACCAAAGATTTGATAGACAGGGTTAGAAAAATCCACTTTAATTTTTGTGCAGAAGTGTCCATGCGTCGAACACTCCATAATCCTTCTGCACTTGCAAAAAAAAAATAAAAATAAAAAATAAAAAACCACAAAACAGTTGCACAAAAATGGAAGGCAAATAAAAAAAAAAAAGGAAAACAAAAAATAGAAGTAACCTGTAAGGTGGAGATTGCAGTAAATTGTCATTCACCACTCCAAAGGAAAATGATCTTCCCAGTAACAAAATCCATGAGAACAGGTAGCACTCTAGCCTTTTTAGTATCTACTTTTAAACTTACAAAAAAAAACACTAAGAACTTTTTTGCATTTTTTAATTTATAAATAGTAAAGAAAAACCAGAACCAGATATCTGCATTACTCCAGTTCCCATTTCTATTTCTGTGTTGTTTCAAGCACCCATTGGTCCATGTAGAATAACAATATAACATAGAATGCTATCATCAATGCCCAACACTCGAGTACAAGAGAATGCTGATAACAAAAACAAAAGTCCCATTTCAAAATAAAAAGAAGAAAAAGAAAGAAAAGCATAGGTAAACTAACCTGTAGCTTGCTCATATCATTCATAAAATTTGCATGCTTAGAAACTAATGTGTTGAATGAAAGAGGGCCTCCTTCAGGATCCTCAGGAGCATCAGAAATTTGCAGCTGCAATCCCGTGCGTTCTGGGAGGGGACCAGAAGCCATAAGAGGGGGAACACGTGCAGAGTTTGGAGCAAGAGTTATAGGTTCATTATCCACCAATATAGCCAATAAAAGATCAAGGCCTTGTTTAAGCCAAAATACATCACTCAGAGCTTCCCAGTCCTGGATTTGGATGATAAATTGTAGCCTCGTAAACAAGGTCTTCCCGAGGGACTCATGATATAATGCGAAGAACTGTTGTCTAATTTCTGGATCTTTTGCTCTAAGACCAAGCATATACTGCCTTTCCACCTTCTGAAACACTTCTTGCCGTATTGATAATGGATATCTAAGGAATAGATTAAACCCATAAGATAAAATAAATAGAGCAAAAGAGTGCTCTAATCTAATGACTCCCAAAGAAAATTAATAATCCATCAAGTCATCACTGTCCATCAAAGTAATGGAATCGTCATCGAGAGAGTGGGATCAACCATAAATATGATCCCATGGTCAGTCCCAGTCTCTCCATCACTATCCATAAAATGGATGGACATAATTCAAGGGACCATTCAATGTTGTACTGGATTATAAATAAATGATGTAATTCTGACCAATAGAATCATCTTAATATTACAATGAACATACTTGCTTGAATCAGCACAAAGAGCATAAAGAAGCTCAAGATATTTCCTATCCCACTCTTCAAGAAGTTCAGGAGGAAAGCTCTGCCTGTCAACCTGAGAAAGCCTCTGAAGATAGGAAATTATGTCCTTCTGGTTTAGAACAGCATTCGAAGAGCCAGCGACTGATGGTTTACAATCATTCTCAATCCAAACTTTTATCACATCGAGAATGCTGATAAGCACACTGGCATCTGTGCCTTTCTCTGCCAGTATTGACAGTATGATATGGCTTATCAGTCGTTTGCATTCAGGAATTAGCATGACCCTTTCACTGATAAGTTTCAAAACGGATTTGAGATTAGAAGTTATTGAGCCCATCTCTGAAACTGCACGAGCAGCATTTGCAGTGGAATCCTGCTCCATTCTCATTCCCTGGATTCCAACATCATATTCACGGTAACAATGCATTAAAATGTGGAACTATAAGGGCATATGCAAACAAAGCATCAGATATTTTTTCAACACAACAATCCGGGGGGGAGGGGGGGGCTGCAGGCAAAGCTAAAAGAACTTCAAAAATCTCAAAGTTACATTTTGGCTGTGCCAAACCCATGAGAAGAAGCTTGGATAAGACGTAATAAGAATATGATAAATTATCTATTTCTAAAAAACATACCATAGTCAAACTAACTTCCAAATTACAAGTCAGACATAATAGATGTGCACACCTGCCTAGGATGAGAATTTGTAGCAGACCCCATATCCCGGGTCAGACGCTGGAAGACGCGAACTAAGGGTGATATGAAAGGGTCAATGAAATTCTTCTGCACTTCTGCCAAGGTTCTGACAACAAAAACCGCAAAACTTATCATTGAATTAGCAGAGCTGATTTCCAAAGATATCTGTGGGGCTGTCACCGCAGCAAGATGCTTCTGAATGAGATCCTCAACCCTTTGATGCAATATCTTCACATCTTGAGGTGTGTTTGGCGCATCTGGGGGAAAGGCAACAAAGACCATTTTCAATAATGAGCAGAGT